AAAAAAAGCTGAAAGATAAGTATTCTACCCACATAAAGCTGACAAGAAACTGCTGGAAGGCCAATTATATAAACAAAAAGAATTCAATTTGGAAAATTTGATAATAATAAAATTTTACCAGTACTTAGACATCCAAGATTGTGGTTGTTGAACATATATGTATTTTTGCAGCAATGGAACGGCCAAGAACTTCTTTTGAAGAGTTCTTTCAAACTCTTGGACATAATACTTTGAGTGTCATTCAATTGTGGTGTGTGAATTAGCTTACCGGGTGAGCTTTCCCAAGCCTTTCAATAAATTATTCAACTAGAGTCAATAGTAGTTACCTCTAAATATCATCAAGGATAATTATGCTTAGTGGTGACTTATAAGCATCATCAAATACCTATCACAAAACGTATCAAATGACATGGATGAACCATATTCATACAACATAAAATTTACATTTACATTTACTTTAATTTGACCAAAAAATATCTATCAAGCTAAAAGATTATAGAGAACATTAAGAAGATGTACATAAAAAATAGAATAGGAGAAAAGGAAATGAAGGTCTACCTAGGTCGCACATTAAGGATTTATTTAAAAAAAATGATTCGTATACTTGACACCAAGTTTATTGAAGATAAGGCTTAGCTCATTCTCTTTGTAAATATTTATATAAATGTTTTAAGATTAAAACAAGGAAGACGTCCTTTCGAAATTGCAGGAAAATTATGTAGATTACACATCTAACTAAAATTCTACTGAACAAAGTTGAGCGTTTGAGAGTTAGGATAAAACACAGAATCTTGACAGTCTTGATTCACAAAGTCAGGGTTTTAGGCAGTTATCAACATATATTGTGCAGATGGGTACTAAGCCTATTACTATATTAACAGATTATATGCAGTGCTATTCAAAACTTTTAGGAAGTCCTGCAATTTACCGCCCTTATCCTAGGTGTCATTTGATTTTCTCTAAGAAATCTCTATATTTAAATGTCATATAATGCAGCTCTGAAATACGAAAGCAGAGACAGTAGACATATTGTATATGCAGTCGTCAGTTTTCAACATGGACTCAAAATTGATTGTATGTTAAAGCAAGCAATGAAAATGAATGTTAGCACAAGGAAAAGAAAAGCATAATAATGAACATTATTTTTGCTTGAGTTTAACCTAAAGAAAAATTCATGAGCCTCTCAAAAAATTGAAATTAGAATCATTGTTTTAAAACCATGTCTAAGACATATGCCTTGAGATCAGATTAGACTTTAAACATGAACTTTACGCCTTCTGCATCATCTGTCAAAGCTTATCCTTCAATTTACAGAAGCTTAAACGAGCTTCTTGCAACACTTTCCCAACTGCACAATTTAAATATTGATCAATCAATAATAAATTACTATCTCATATGACTTATTGCCGTTATTCAAAACTTGAACGAATAAGACAAATACATCTTATGGTGTTTGTGAAAGTAAAAAAAAATAATGATTTATTTAATCCACTTTTAAGCACCACAGTAATGTTTAAGCCGGGTAAATCAAGACACAACAATTTAACCCTTTAAGCAAACAATATTTACAACTTTAGATATAACTTCTGAAATCTTTGCACTCGATTATAAAGGTACCCAAATCTGTAAAAGTGAAAATAACTTGATCATCACAACAATTTCCATATTTAGTGATGAAATTTCCAAGGTAAATCAACAACTATATTAACACTCTTAATACAAATAAAATATCTTCATTTAAGATATTGAATATTCGGAATGTTCTTCGTAACATAAAGAAATAAGTTTTGCAATCAAGAAATAATTTATAATATTAAAAATGCAGTAGCAAGCTTAGATTTCTTCACCTTAACTCTGATCCATCAGTCAACCAACCAAATGAGCTGGAGCCACAAAAGCTCTGCCACTGCTTTATTTATGCTCCTGTAAGTGTTTTTCAACAATGATCTTATTAGCACAAAACATAGTGCTTGAGAAATCCCCCAATAAATTTTGTGACATTTGCCAAATTCAAACATACTTTACCCATGAATAAAATATATTACAACAAAATAACCAGAAAATCACTCAAGAAAGATTAAAAAAAAAGAACCCCTAAAAAAATGTTTAGCATATCAACTAGGGATAAAGAAAAACCAGTTTAATCGGCTCAACTAAATCAAAACCATATCAGAGACCTTTAAAAAATGGATTTTTAATCTTGTGTAAATGCATAATTGGGATGAAATTAACAACTAGCCCAGATAAGAAAAAGAGAACACCCAACAGCACACCAACAACAGTTACTGCAATCGCCATAACTTTGAAATCCCCCAACTCCAGGCTAGAATTTGTATGTATGTGCGTTTATAGAGAAAGAAAAGTAAAATAATATATTGATTTTAATTCATTGATAACAGAGAGAGGTAAGATGTAATAAAGGAAGATGAAAATCTGGAAAATCGTGAAATGTAAATAATTTCAAGATTCATAGATAATAGTTGATAGATTCATGGAATGTCAGAGTTATAAGTAAGATTGAAGAAAAGGTGCACCTCTTGGGTACCCAATTTCAGCCTTCGTAGCAAGATATGAAGCTTCTACTCCATTCTACCATATACAGAAAAATCACTTAAAAAATTCGAAGAAGATGAAAGTTTAAGTCAGTACCATTAATCTCTCCGATGTCACTAGAGAAAGAGGAAATATAATAAGTAAAATCTTGAATAAAGATAAATAATTTTTTTTTCTTTCAAGTAATAATCCTAAAAAGAAAAATCAAATCCACAAGTCCAACCATCAAAGAAAGAACTTTACACATATGAAAGAAAACCCTTTCAGATTACGATCAGATGACGCAATGAAAAATAATTAGTGAAATTAAAGTCCCTCGAAAAATGAAGAGCAAATTCTAAGAAGAAAGAGTTGGCAAAGGCTGAAGAATAAAGAAAAAGGCTGCGTGCTTTAATAAGAGATTGGAAAATAGAGAGCAAATTCTAGGAAAAAAATTGGGAAAGGATGAAGAAGAAGGTTGTGTGTGTCAGACAAATGAATAAGAAAGTAAAAGAACAAAAACGCCATCATTTTGCCATATGTTAAGGCAAAACGACGCTGTTTTGCACTCAAAAGGGGGAAAAATTAAAAACAAAGGGAAAAAAGGAAAAAAAAATGGAAAGGGGATTGGATCACTATTGCATCTACAGTTCACTCCTTATTGCCTTTTGTATATAGTAGGGAAATAATAATTTTTTAAATGGAAAAAGGAAGCGACTTTTTTTTTTGTTTGCTTTCAAATCAATAAAAAGAAATAAAAAAATTGAGATTTTTACCTTATTTTAGCCCCTGTTTGATCAACATTAAAATTTTCATTATCATTCTTCTACTCATTTTCAACCACACATTTTTCAATAAAATAATAATTTTCATCACATCAATAACTTTTCATTCTTTTTAAACCACACATTCTCCATCAACCTACTATTTCTAAATACATTTTTCAAAAATAACGTGGCTCAAACACACGCACCCTCAATATATCCTACCTATGTCTTTCGCGGGTTAATTTTCCTCTAGTTTTTTGGGAAAATTTAACTAGACCAGGTGTTTAATTTTAACTTTTTAAAAATTAGGTTTAAACGTTTTTTAATCAAAAATCAGGTTTTAATTTCAACAATTAATATTGATAATGATATTTTAAATTAAATTAATTTATATACCCATACATACCCCACCCCCACCCCCACCCCCACCCCAAATTTCACAAAATTCCCAAACCTAATCTCTCTCCTCNTCAGGCAAAAACCAGTCAAGTGGGGAGATTGCGTTCCTGCTTATGTACAGAGGGAAGAATAACAGATCGGAGAATTCATTTTGATCAATGACAAACTAAAGGTCAGTTGTCATCTGTTTTGAAATATTAAAGCATTTGGTTATGTGCTTTGTGATCCATCATACAATGTGTTTTTAAAAGAAGTATTTTGCAAGGTCAAATATCATCATTTGAACTTCAGCATCTCCAATTGATATCTATGACCAGGTATTGTTAACTATTTGGTCATTCCGTGACCTGTGATTGGGAGTGTACTGTGATTGGGAGACGGGTACGACGGATTGGTCGAAGTGTCTATGACTATTTATTTGGTCGATCCGTGACTTGTAACAAAGTGTGGTGATGTACTGGGATGGGGGAAGGGTGTTTGGGTGACTGTGACCTAGCTATTGTGGTTCTTTTTGGTGTCCGTGACCTTACTATTGAGCTGTGACTTTGAAATTCATAATTTGTAACTTAAAAAAAGAATCTGTGACCTTAATTTTTTTGATTTGTGATTTCGAAATAATCTGTAACCTATAAAATTTTAAATCTGTGACCTCGAAATAATTCGCGATCTACAAAATTTTTTATCTGTGACCTCGAAATAACCCGTGACCTACAAATGTTTTGATTTGTGACCTTGAAAAAGTCGCCGGATCAAAGCAGTCGCCGAAATTAAGTGCTGCCGGAGTAGTCGCCAGAGCAATGGTAGTCGTCGGAGCAATAGGGGAGGTGGGGCGAGGTGGGGTGGGTTAATTTTATTATATTACAGTTAAATATTTAATTTAATATAATAATTCTGAAATGTAATTAATTAATTCAAGAAAAATCTGAGTTTTGTAATTTAAAATTTTGGTACCTAATTTTTAATTTGCTGAAAGGAAAACCCTGAACCAAACTTTTCCCTAGTTTTTTCACCATATCTTCTGCATTTATCGTACAGGAGCTTTAGTGGAGCCCACTAATACATGACGTGTATGTTACCTCAACAGTCAACCCCACGCCCCTCATATCATCAGTTCCTTTCACTTCATGACTGCCGCCGGCTAACAGCACCCACACCCGGCCGCGAAAACCCAGCCCGATAATTTTTTCTCCTCCTGTACAGACCAGCGCAATTTCCGGTTGCACGAACTCTTCTCTGAATTCATCTCTTAAAAACCCTAAGCATTCTTCCTCCATTTCTCCAGCACCTCGCTTACAATACAAAATGAAGGACCGGCCGCCACCGTCTCCGTCACGCGGCGCACTTTACGTGCCGCCACATCACCGCATCCGCTCCGTCATCACTACACCGTCCGCCAACTCCTCCTTCGCTAAGGATTCCGTGCTTACAACTTTAAGTACTAATAATACTACTGGCTCTCAGAGCTCACTTCTTCATTCCGAAGTGAATAAGAGTAATGATAACAATACGAATTCTAACAATCCTTACATGTACTTGCCACATCATCAATATAAGCAGCAGGTACAGGAGAAAAAATCGCTGCATAATAAGGTGTCAGAGGAAGTTTCCTATTGTGATATCGAGTTTTTGACACATCCAGTGAGTTTTATATGCAAAAAGTGATATCTTTATTACGAGTATATTTTTCGGGTTTACTCAGTGTATAGGCGGCTGTTAATCTAGTTTCTTGTACAGTTTTGATGACTATTACAAACAATAACAATATAGACATCGTTGTGAATTTAAATTGAAACCTGCATTGCTTTGATCAGAGGGAGTTATTCGATATTACTTGTTTGTTGTCCGGAATATGATTAACAGCAATTTGGTTGTTGGAGGATTAGGTTATACCGTGGTTTATAATTATGAAATGAGCAGGGTGAATTCTTCGTGTCAAGGAAGTGCGATTTGCCAATGAGTTTCTGAGTCAAATGACAGAAGTATGTCCTGTTAGAAATAATAAAAATGATTTTCCTGCATCAAAATTTAGTACTGTGACATTTCAGTATGATGCTGAAACGTGGTACTTGTTTTGTCTGTCCCAGTTACTCTGCTGAAATTTGGAAACTGATATTGCAGTTAAAGAATGAAGGCATCCTTCTAGTTTATGGAAAAGATGAAACCTCTCTCTACTAATTTTGATAAAAAGACAGAAACTGTATTTGCAAGAGAAAGAATATAGTATTTGAGGATAAGTGGACATTATTGGGAAAAAAGTACCCAAAACTAGATTTGAATAGCTTAAATTCTTGCAGATGTATCTTTACACGAAATCATTTTTCTTTTGTTTTGTGCACTTATTAGGAAAATCGCAAACACAAAATTGGTAATTTGCACATGGGGACCACATGTGAACCGAGATGGGAGACATTGGTATATGCATAATTATCCAGAACAACATGCTCATTAATTTGGCATTATTATCTGCTAATATGAAACATGATGCTTTATTATATCTCTCATTTATATTGTCTTTAGGTCTGGATTTGGCTGTTGTTTGTTATTCTAATCCAACTGTAATGTGATTCCCAATCTCCATTTTTTTTTCCTTTAAAGTTGTTTCTGATCGTAGGATGCTTCCACCTTGGATGACGTTGATGGCTGGAAATGGAAGTTAACTACTCTTTTAGACAATAAGGATAAGCAAGAATTAGTATCAAGAAATAAAAGGGATAGGCGCAATTATGGTCAAATATCAGCTTTAGCAACCAGAATGGGTTTATACAGGTATGTTTCACATGACTCTTTTTAAATTTTCTTTTGAGATATGTTTAATAAAGTACTTTTTGCAGCCACCTGTATACAAAAGTGGTAGTTGTCAGTAAGGTTCCTTTGCCCAACTATCGATTTGATCTCGACGAAAAGCGTCCACAGAGGGAGGTATTTTCTTATGCTGCTTCATGCATTTTTTTAATATATAATTAATTCAAACCGACCCAGTGTTTTTATTTATTAGATTCTTCTCTAATATCGCCTGAATTTGTGTATCATTCCACCTACTTTTTCCACGATGATTCTTCACCTTTTGTTTCCAACTAATTGACATTTGTGACTTAATTGGTTGAACAGTATTTCGTTGTCTATTATTGTTTTGAAGCTTCACATCTTTCCCCCCCCCCCCCCCCCCCCCCCCCCCCCCCCCCCCCCCCCCCCCCCCCCCCCCCCCCCCCCCCCCCCCCCCCCCCCCCCCCCCCCCCCCCCCNGCTTTAGAAATTTTTAGGTGATCTTGCCTCCACATTTGCGAAGGCGCGTGGAAACCCATCTTGGGCAATACATTTCCCAAAAGCCCAAGGACATAGATGCATTTTCAAGATCAAGCAGTAATTGCAGTATCGCTACCGATGAAGGGCTTTTTGAGCAACCTGAGCTGCTTCCACCTAGCAAGGTTGCCATTGAGAAAATTATTTGGCGCAAAAGTCAGCAAATGCAAGAGGAGCAACTGATTTGGCAGGTTCAATCACCTCTGCATATCTAGATTACATTCTTTTTTATGCAGCTATTCTTCATCAGCTTTTACTTTTCCTCAGTTTCGAAAAGTGAAGGTAGTTCATTGGGGTGCTCATCTTTTAAGTCTTCATTCTATGTCTAGTAGCCAATTTTGCCATGCTTATTGTCATCTAGTCTACACATATAAGAGTGTTACAACACACTCAATTTTGAGAATGTAAAAAACCATTGTTTAATAAACCTTTTTGAGGCTTAGGCCTCGAAACCCACTTCATGTGAGACTATTATAAAATGCTGCAAAACCTGCCTCCTTGAGTGCCATTAGTGAGCCTTATGCCTCAAGGTTATGCCTCAGGGCTACTGAGATGTGTGCTGCTTGTGTTTTCCTTTTTTGAGCATATTACTGGCATCAAGTCTTTGACCTATTTTCCTTACACCCTATAACATTTTATGGGTGCCTTTATTTTATGTTTTATACCTTTACAAGGATGGAGATGGTGAAGGGGAAGGGAAAGGAAAACACAATGTTCAAGTGGAGGATGATAAGAAAGAATGAGAAAAAATTGATAGTGATGGAGGATGAACGGGGTCTCAAATAAATCATTCTTTTAAGAATTGTATTAGTTTTGATAATTTCGGAGATTTCTAGATTGTCTTTACTTTAACATTTACATTATTATAACTTATCATTTGCTAATTTATATTAATCTATTTAATATTTGTCTTGTAAGTTACACTATTAATTTTTTAATTTGTTTTATTATGGACTTTCAAGATGATTAATGGTTGAAGATAAGTATGCTTGTATACTTTTATATTCTTTCCGATAATTTTAATGGTTTTTCTCGAGGCTTATGGCTCACCTCACTGAGATAGAATAACTCAGTACTCAGTTGAGCCATTTTAAACATTCGTAAAAACTATCATTTATTGATAATTTTGATAGGAAATTAAAGACCCTTTCCAATCCTTCCTCATCCTCCTCCTCATATTCTAGCATCTCTATACTCGTGCTTGTAGATCTTTATCATCCTTTCTACTTTTTTGGTCTTTGTTTCCCACGATTCTAGTGCTTACCAGTGATATAATTGAGTGCCCGTTTGGCCCCATTATTCCACATTGTAATGAAGAATAATAATTTTTTGGAGAATGTGTGGTTAAAAAAGAAGGAAAAGTTTTTGGATTTACGCGTAATATTATTTTATTGAAAAATGTGTGGTTGATAAGAAGGGAGAGAAATGAATTATAATTTAATGGGGGCCAAACGGGGGTTGAATATCATGGGCTAAAATACGCGTAATCAAAATTCAAAAACTAATGATGTGTAACTTTTAAATGGATAGCTCTGGACTTTGTTTAATCTCTTGACAAGTACTAAATTTATTTGATAAATAGATTGAAGAAAGTTTTGTCTTTCTTCTTAAATAAAAAGTTTCATACCATATTTTTGCTTCTATCCAATTATTATAATTGGGGTGCTAGCTTTTAGGATTTTGATAGTGATAAATCAGATGGAAACAGAAAGGATTTATGAAGAAAATGTTGATGCAAAGAGATGATAAACCAATAATTAATCCATCAGATGGCTGTTAGATCTGCCTGGGGATGAAACTGTTCTTATAACTTCAATAGCGGATAAATAAAGCTGAATTCTTGGCTTATTTACATCCCAGTCTGATTGCTGCTTTACAACATTTCTTCTGTATTCAGCTGCAAGAAATCTGTTACCTTTTGTTTTTGTAAAAAGTAATATGCCTCAATCCTTAAAATCTTCCTGTGATTTCTATACAGTCATAAACTCGTTGTTGGATTTTGAGATTGCCTACATCTCGAGAAAGGCTCTAACCTTCTTATTGTTCTGTGGTTGTTGAGCTGGTCTCCAATATTATTGCATCCATTTGAAGTTAGCTATTGTATTTTAGGCCAAAAGAATTAACCATGGCTTCGATTTCACTTTGATTGCATCACTAATGTATGCTTGTAATGTGAGCAAGGCAAGTTCAATACACTTCTGATTTTAGTCAGTTGACAAGTGTGTTAGTGGCATTCCAAAAATGATTAAATAAGCAGTGTTCTATTCAGAATTAGGGAAGTTCGTCAGCGTATTGAGACTTGTACCTTTTTAATTTTTCATTCATTTGTTCATTTCTATTCTTATGCTATCTGCTCAGTCAATGTTGCCTGCCTATTGTTTTGGAATATAAATTTATACTGTCATTTGTAAAAAATCGTTTTAGTCATTATCGTCATCTCTTCTTTTGGTGCTTTTGTTTTTAGTCTATTAGTGTTCTAAAAAGTGTGACGTGTGGCAAGGTAGCAAGGTCAGCCTCAAGCCTTGTGTACCTAGGCGTTATAATCATTCTACAACCTAAAAAAATAAAATAATGCAAATTAAACAACTAAGATAAATACTATAATTTCTATAACTAGACAATATCCAAGTTTTCCACAACTAGCAATTTCCAAGTTTCCAACTAGACAATTCTTAAGGATTTATAATAACTTCATACATACTTTCCTAGTTTTCAACAAAAAATAAGTCTCAAAATCATAAATACTGTAATTATTTATTAATTCTTACAACTTGACAATTTAGATAGTGCCATAGTCTAAGTCTTGCATAACTCTTTATTGGACTCCACTTCAATCTCCTCTTCTTTGTCTAACTCATCTTCCGTGTCATTTTAAACAAAATCATTTTCCTCGGACTCTCTTATTTTAACTTGAGCATTTCTATTACCTCTTCTAGGTTGTAATAAATCATTCTCCACCTCATCATTTCCTCCTCATGATCATCACAACCCTAAAAAATCCTCGACTAGATTACTAGCATCACTTGCTAGGAGAGTCTCTAGTTTATTATTCTCCCTCTTCTTGTTCATTAACCTTGCATTAAATTGGAGCTAAACTAGATTATTCATCCTTGTGGCATCTAATCTTCCTTTTTATGGTGTGTATCTACAAGAAAGAAGTTAGAAAACTTTATTATACTTTATAAATATATACATTTTAAACTACTTCTAAAGTAATAACTAATATGTAACAACATAATTAGTACTTATAGAAGTTGCCAGTGGCCACATGGACCGATAATCACCTAGACTTCTAGATGAAAAATAATACTCTTCAAAGACACTCCAATTTATTCCCCACTCGATGAACTAGTAGTCCAACTAAGGATTCATTTTGCAATTGTTATTTACTTTGGTGTTTCATTGTCATGGAAGTGCCATCAACTACTAGGAAATATAATTGAAATAGAGAAGTTATATATATTCATCCAAATGCAACTTCTTTTTGAATATATCTTTACAACCTTGGTATTTATCACTTGATGTTGCATTCTAGCTTTGGAAAAGAACTTCTATAATTTTACAATTACACTTGTTTTTTAGTTGATCATCTTTTGTATGTGGATTTTTAAAGAAATAAAATGGATTCAAAACATAAGTTGTTGCGTAAAGTCAACTATCAAGGCGATCTTTGCCTTTTGCATCAACAATGTCTATGATTGACATATAGGCCCATTTATCCTTAAATATTTTTTGGATGTCATCCTTTGCCTTTAGCAGCTCCCCATAAACAAATCCCATTGAAAGCTTCTGCTCTCCTTCAACAAGTCTAAGCACTTTCACTATTGGAGTGAACACCCTCAAACACAAGTCTATCGATTTTCAAAAATTGTTGCAAATAACAATATCAAATGCTTCTTTTTCCATTTTGCTCCTAGACCATTTAGTGAGATCACATTCATTGCTGGTCATCATATTTATCGACTCTTGTTTTTTATTAAGCAAACGTTGCAATGTTAAGAAAGAGGTTGCAAGTCTAATGACTCCTGGCCTATTTCCTTTTTTGTGAACTTTCTCCTCAATGCCAAGGTCTTTTGATGCGCATAGATGAGTATAATGAAGGTTTTTTGCTCTCCCTCAAATCTAGGAGTTTAGGCATTCCTTTAAGTATAAGATTTGGGGAGTGAGTGACACATGATGTCAAATAGATGTTAGGCCTCTATAATGCTAACAAATTGGCTGCGGACATATTAATAGAAGCATTTTCAGCCACAATTGGAACCACATTTTTATCCCAGCCTCTTTAATACATTCATTGACAGTCAAATATGCATTGGCTGGTTTGAGCATCATTCAGAAGCTTCCTTTGAGAAATTTGGCCCCAATTTATAATTCACAAACAAATTCAATATACTTCTGCATTTTCTTTCACTTCAAGCATCGATCATGATAGAACACCGATTCCACTCTTCTTGCTTTAAGAGTTCTTTTTGTTCTCTTCACCTCTCGCTTCAAAAGTGGCTCCCTTGGTATTGGGAAGGAGGAAGGTAACGTGGGCCATATTAAGGAAAAACTTCAACACATCTTTCAAAGCTATCATTGTTAATTTCATTTAAGGGAATCCCAGCTTCATATACCTGTCTTGCCAAATCTTGATGAACTTTTAATAACCCTTTGTTAGACATTACATCAATGACATTTTCATAATATACCTGTCTTGCCAAATCTTGATGAACTTTTAATAACCTTTTCTTAGACATTACATCAATGACACTTTATTAATCCATTTTCTTACTTGCACTCATAGAAACATAATCGGCTTTGACTAACCTTGCTAATTGATCGATGAGAACCACATTAAGAGGTCTTTTCTTTGTTCCGCTTTCAATAATAGAAATTTCATCCTCTTCTTCCTCGTGTCCCATAGGCAAAGACATAACTACATCATCCCTCAACTTAGCATCATTCAATAGCTTTTCTAACTTCTTAGAATTATTCTCTTCAAGCACCTCAAGACACTTGACTTTGTGCTTTTCACTTTCTCTAAGGCATGGTTTCACATTACTTCCATTGGACCCCGCTATGTAGATTTTGTGCCTATTGATTCCCGCCTTTGTAACTTTACTACACCATAAGGATTTCATATGATTAGCATTCTTAGGATCTATAAGAATTGCAATTTCATATCCAATATCCCTGGAATCTTTATTAGTTGATTGACATTAAAATTAAATGCCATGGAAGAATCATTTTGTTCCATTGATTCCTGTAAAGTTATAGTTATTTATATTAGGGTTTAATTATTTCATTTTTACTTGGGGATGTCAGAATAATCACGAATGAAAAATGATCAAATACTTAGCAAACAATAAAACATAAATAATCTGTATCCCACATTTTATCTAACACTTAGAAGACAGTTTCACCAAAAAAGAAAAAAAAAAAAAAGGAAAGAAGGCACACAACTAAAATAGCATTTGAAACACTAATATATATAATCATTCGCAATATAAAATTTTATTTAATCTTTAAAACAAATGGCCAATAATAATTAATTTTTTGGAAAAAGAAGAAAGAAAGACAGAAGAAAATAGATACACAAATACCAAGGGTTTGGACTTTGGAGAGCTTCCAAGATTTTGGACTTTGGAGAGTGTCCAAGATTAGGCCAGTAGCTGTTGGTGGAGTTGATGACGTGAAGTTGATGCCGTGAAATTTCTGAAAATAGGTCCAAAAAGAATTCCTTGGAAACCCAGCTTAAGGGAAAATGAGTTCAAGTATTACTCCAGCACCAATTTAGTGTTCGAACTGTCCAAGAAATGGCTCCTAAAGGAAAATGGAAAAAAAAAAATAAAAATAAAAAGGCACGCTCCTTTTGGCACCTAGGCCCACCTTAGGCAGTCAAAATAGGGTTGACTGCCTTTTTCTACGCCTTCCCCGTACGTGGAGCTTTTTTTTAAATGCCTAGACCATCTTTTCTGCCTTTTAGAACACTGGTCTTTATTGGTTTCTTAAGTTTTATTTAATCTGATTTCTGATCTTAATTCTTCTAAATTCATCCACTACAATTGATTTCTTCCATTGATAAAACAATTATCTGCTTCTGTTTGAAATTGACTCAGAAGTGCATCAATTTTCTTTCTCATACTCATTGGTTTTGTACAGCAATCTCCTGAAGGCAGAGAGATGATGGAATTTCGTAGTAGTCTGCCTGCTTACATGGAGAAAGATGCAATATTAAGTGCCATTTTGCAGAACCAGGTACGTCAATGTTTGGAGCATCTGTTGTTTTTTGCTGTTGCCTGGATTTGGCACTCTCTTTAATCATTTTTTTCTGTTCTAGAGCATTGCATGACAAATAGTGATTAGAAAGTCTTGCTCTAGGTTACTTCCTTATGAATTCTATTATCTGTTTGACTATGAATAGACCTGCACTCACACAACCACTCTACTGGGTAAATGGTGTCATCAATGTCTCATCTACTTGATCAAGAGATCTAAAATTAGCAGCAAAAAGTTTTCTAGTGGCCGGATAGGCCATTTTTGTCCATTTTAGATTTTCTAATCCTTCGTTGTATTTCTACAATAGCTGCCATGTTCTTGACCAAATGAATTTTTCCCCTATCTGACCCTTGAGTTTAAAATAAAAGAAAGAAAAAAGAGAATTTTTATTTCAATTATCATAGTACAATATTATTAGTCGCAAGCTATCTTGGTTTTACATATGTAGCTGATGCCTTTGAATACTGTACCCAATCAAATTCTTTGGAGCTTAATGCTTTAATCATTTTATTTTCTATTCCTTTCGATGAACTAGTAAACCTTTTGAGTTCCTTTCTCCTTTCACTAGTTCTCCTTTTGATTACCATTCTTATGTTGTTACCTTTTAATTTCCCTTTTCCTTTATTTCATCTTTCATTTGTACTTGGTACTCATCTGGCATGTGCGTTTGGTTGGGTGAGAAACATGTAATCTTCGATATTTGTTGCCAAGGTGTATTCTTAATTGATGTGGTTTTACACTCGCTTTAGTGACAATATTTGCTGACCTTTTATGCTTCTTTACGGCAGGCTTCGAAGGGAAGGAATTCTATTTTTATGTATAAAATTTTATGCAATTAACAAGTGGAGAAGTTCAATTTTTTAGGTTGTAATAATCTCTGGTGAAACTGGATGTGGAAAGACCACTCAGATTCCCCAATTTATTTTGGAGTCTGAGATTAACTCAAATCGTGGAGCAATGTGCAATATCATATGTACTCAGCCCAGAAGGATATCTGCAATGTCTATATCAGAGAGGATTTCCGCTGAGAGAGGGGAGAAATTGGGGGATACAGTGAGTCTTGATACCACAAACACAATCTAGGGTAGTAAATTACCATATGATTTTGCCTGTGCAAGTATATAATAATGCCTCTCCTGTCAGGTTGGATATAAAGTTCGGTTAGAGGGTATGAAAGGAAGGGATACCCACCTCCTCTTCTGCACAACAGGCATTTTGCTGAGAAGATTACTAGCTGATAGAAACTTGAAGGGTGTGACACACATTATCGTGGATGAGATACATGAACGTGGAATGAATGAAGGTACTTTTGTTGTCTCAATTGACCGTCTCCTTGTTTGGTCCCCATTTTTCCTAAAATACATTTTTTTCCTCTTATTTTCAACCACACATTCTTCAATAAAATAATATTACGTACAAACCCAAAACTTTTCCTTATTTTTGAACCACACACTCCATCAAAATACTATTGTAAAATGCATTTTAATAGAAAAATGGGGCTCAAACATGCTTTGTATTATATAATTATTACCTATTGGATGCTATTCATCTCTCCTAAGCACTACGAATCAGTGACGTGCCACGGGAGCTGGAGCGTTGGTGTCCACACGTATCAGGCACACTAGGTGGCATGTCCCATTTTATTTTATTTTTTCTTTGGTTCTTGATACCTCAGCGACAAGCCTCCGACATGGAAAATCCATTTCATGATCGAAACGGAAAAGAACAGAAACTAACTACCAATAATTGAAACCAAATGGAAAAGCAAGGTAAGCTAACTGAATTAGGGCAAAGAGGAAGCCAACCTCCATAGTTGGGAACTAACCTATGATTCCAGCAACCAAAAAGCTAAATGGGTAATGGAAATGGTGAAATGGCACAAATAGATGCAATGTCCAACAATATGGGAGAGGAAAGCCATGGAGATTGGAGAAGCGGGAGAAGAGGGAAGCTTTTGGACAAGTAAAAGGGGGAAGAGGGAGATGCGAGTGGTGACATTCTGGTAATGGGAGAAATCTTTGGGAAATAAAAAAGATAGTGAAATCGGGAAGAGAGAAGAGGTAGAGAATGTTGGAACATTCTGGAGATTGATAAGAATTAATAAGATGTGGTGGGCTTAAAATCCGATGAGGTGGCCTATGAGATGACCCATTCCGATGTTTGTGTTGGGGCACCTTTTCAGTAGACACAAATTGACCAATTACTTAGATGTCCCACTTGAAAAGAATTGTTTCTTTTAAACAACACAAAAATAAAACAAAAATTTAAATTTAAGTTATTTAATTAGTCCCCATTGTATGTATAATATTTTTTCGAAAAATCATGTTCCGGCATGTTTGTGTGTGCACTACTTACTGTAAGCATGTGATATGACCTTGTTGAGTTGTGATGCTCTTGGTGTTATTGAAAATATAAATTGCTATGAATAACCATTTGGCGTATTTCATGACAGATTTTTTGCTTATTATTTTGAAAGATCTACTACCTCGTCGGCCAGAACTAAGGCTAATTCTCATGAGTGCAACCTTAGATGCAGAGCTCTTCTCATCATATTTTGGTGGGGCTCCAAAGGTCTACATCCCGGTGAGCTAGTGGTCTTTTTGGCCCTATCCTCATAAATAAAATACTTGAATGGTTTCTTGTATCAATATTTCTTTAGAAAATGTTATCGTAGTCTTTGGCAGTACAATGCGCTTTTTGCAACGAAGTTTCTATTAGTTGGTAGTTATATGCTATAGGAAATGTAGATTTGTCGTCAACTAACAACAGTATTGTGACATGTCGGTATTTTCATTTACCACGTTAGTAACTCCGAATTTTCTAACGGTGAGTTATTGAGCGATGGATGAGATAACCATCTGATAAGTTCGGCGATCACCCGAAAACGTCTAAAGTTCAATGGCAATGGGATAACGATTTGATAAGTTCGGTGACCGTCAAAAAACTTTTCATGTTTAATAGCGAAAGGGTAGGGATAATGATTTAATAAGTTAGGTGACCATTTGAAAAAAATTAAAATTTAAATGGCCAATGGAAAACATTGTGCAAAGTGCCAATTGGATTTTTAACCCCACAAATTCTGGTTGAGGTTCTTTGATAATATACTCATGGCGCCTATTTGTTCTTGGCTTCAGTATCATATAGTTTAATAAAGATAAACATGCAGCAAATAAGCAATTAGAGGTTGATTAGTAGTTACATAATATTATTACCTTCGTTTCTTCTTCCTTTTAGCTTAATAAGCTATTTTGAATAGATTCTGGTATTTCACCTGATAGCTTGACGAACTTTGTAATGTGAACATACCTTAAATTTCTCTTTTGTTTTTATTTAGGGTTTCACTTATCCAGTACGTACTCATTTTCTAGAAAATATTTTGGAAAGGACGGGATACCAATTGACACAATATAATCAAATTGATGATTATGGTATGGAGAAGATGTGGAAAATGAGTAGACAAGCTCCAAGAAAGAGAAAGAGCCAGCTTGTTTCTGCTGTTGAGGTAGTTTTAACTGCTAGTTCTCATGTCAACACGTTGGTATTTCTTTGCTGATGTGTTCATCTTGTCGGAAAATGTTATTAGGAGGCATGTAAAGCTGCTGATTTCAAGGATTATAGTGCTCAGACACGGGAATCTTTGTCTTGCTGGAATCCTGATTGTCTAGGTTTCAACCTCATAGAATATCTTCTGTGCTATATATGCGAGAATGAAAGGCCTGGTGCTGTTTTAGTTTTTCTGACTGGGTGGGAGGACTTAAGCTCCTTGAAGGATAAGCTGCAAGGTCATCCTCTAGTAGGAGATACTAGTCGAGTTTTATTGCTGGCATGCCATGGTTCCATGGCCAGTGAGGAGCAGGTGAATTTGTATATTAATTGTCGACTGTCCCTGTTATTCGGTTCTGTATATATTACTGTCAAGATAAATTTTGATTTTTGTTTACTGTGGGAATTTTCTATTGTCCATACATTTGGAATGAGCTAAATTTTGACCATGAAAGTGTGAAACTTGTTCACGTTAGCCATTTGTATATCCGTGTGACCTTTTGAAATAAAGTTTTATATTGATGCCTTTGTATTCCGTACTTCTATAATTGCTTCAGTGATGTCATTTTGCAATGTTACATCCACAAAGATGAACAGGAAACAAAAAAAGAAGAAGAAGAAGAGGGTAACAAAAGAAAAGATAAAAACACATATAATCTATGCATTATGATTCTTTGTTGTCCTTCTCCATGGTTTTTTTGTGATTTTGGCATGTGGTCTCCGTTTGTTACCTGCTCCCTTGACGACTTGCTTGGTACTTGCAAAACCTGGTACATTTAATGATGTCTACTGAACCACCACAAACTGACCTATGTTTAAAGCAATGGAAGATTGTCCATATACCCTGTAAGGTTTACTGGTTGAAACATCATGCCAAGTCACTTTGTTCCTTTTTATAAATTCAAGTGCCGAGTGCTAGGCTACTAAATGTTCTTCAGAGATGGAAAAGGAAAAAAACTCGCATCTATTAGTTTGCTGATTACTAGTTATTCTTTTCTACAGCCTCTAGTCTTCCTCTCGGAAACAGTTCTTGATGTTTTCATCTATACAGCCTATTTATTTCAAGAAATCATGCCATTTAATTTTAAAGATGGATATCCATAACATATTTAAGAATAAAGTTCCATTGGGCCAGTTTTTGATGACAGATATGGATGAATGCATTGTAAATAGATTATGTGCCAACAAGTCATTCTTTATGAGGTTGAGCTATATCGTCGAATATTAAATCGGATCTTTTTTGTCTTGATACCATATTATCCCTGTTTGGCTGCTCTTTCATGTTATTTGCTTTTCCTATGCTAAAGAGCTAGTGTTTGTATAATAGAGGGGAACACAACTTCTATTGTAAGTTTTTCTCTATTTTGTTTGTTTATTTATTTCTTTGCCATTGGACAGAAACTAATATTTAACAAGCCTGAAGATGGAATAAGGAAGATCGTTCTGGCTACCAATATTGCTGAAACCAGTATTACAATTAATGACGTGGTTTTTGTCATTGACTGTGGGAAGGCAAAAGAGACATCGTATGATGCGCTAAACAATACTCCTTGTCTGCTTCCTTCTTGGATTTCAAAGGTTTCAGCTCAACAAGTACGTAAAATTGAATCTTAAAGTTTAATTATTTCGTCATGAGATCAAATTGAGGTTTGGTGCTTGTAAAATTCACTGTTATTTTATGCCATCACTTCAAATTACTTAATGTTTGTTGGTTTATGTACCACAATCTGATAGATATTATTGCTCAAAAAAGCTCACAATAGGTGTTGCAAAAGATACCATCACTTCTGTATTGTGAGTTTGGCATTGGCAATGAATTAAGTAGTTTTATACTTTAAATTTCTGAGTGGTTATAAAAGCAAGGAAATGGTGTCAACAGCCCTCTAACTTGTGGTAACTCACATATGCATAAATCTAAGCCAGTGGCTGGGGTTTCGTTTCAGATTGAATTTTGTCAAATTATTTTTGAATGGTTCCATAAAGAATTATTTGTGGCTTCTGTTGTAGGCACCACCATGGAGACTTTACTGTGTGCTCCTTCTACATTATTATAATTGATATCAAATCTTTGTAATATGTTTGAGCAGCTCATTACTGTGTAAATTTAAGGAAATTGTTGGTCGTAGAGTCTTGTTGTAATGGTGGTAATGAACCCAATCAAGTAAATTGACTTGAATATATAATCATACCATTTTTTTTTGCATGTATTTAATCGTGGCATTACTACATGCCTGTGGCTGGTTGAATTGAGAGGTGGCTCAAAAGTGAGCGTCAAGGTGCAACTTTGAGAACCATTTGTCCAGAAGTAAGCCTCAGTAGTAAGGTGCATGCCTCAAGTCTTGTGAGCTGTCTCCTCGACTTTCTGAATATGTTTTTTGGTGCCATGTGGGCTGGATCCCATAAAGGTGAAACGTGTCTCTTTTTTTTTTCCTCAATTGCTTACTGCATTTTTTAGTCTCAGCCTCCCTTGAGCTCACAAAGTTAAGAAGTCCTTTCTTCACTTTTGGTTTTTCAAAATTTAACTTCATGTAAACCTTCATTGCGACCATTACATGTGATGCTCTTTGCCATGTAGTGGTTAGAATTTTAGCAAAGAGGTTAAATACAAAAGATTTCTCAACTTTGTGGAGTATAAGATGTAATGGTTGCATTGGACATTGACAGCATGTAGGATGAGAAAAGGACTTGAACTTTGTGGTCTTTGAGGGACCACAGACTTAAAATAGCAGCCAGCAATTGAGGAGAAAAACAATAAGGCCATTCCACATTTAAGGGCTCCAGCCCACAATACTAAGAAAAGTTTGAGAAGATGATGAGACTGAGGCTTTGGCCTTGGAAAAATAGGCCTCAAAGTTTACCCTTTGAAGCTCATTTTTGTCGCTTCAATTTGAGGTGCGACTCGCGATTTTTAAAACGTTATTTTGATTTTTAATTATGTTGTTCAGTTGCTTAATAAGAATCCTAGTTAATATGCAACAATATTTAGTAGTCAAAGATTTGAATCTTTTCAGTTTCCTATTTCTTCTAGGGGGAAAAGTATAATCCCTTTATTCCAATGGAGATCATCGTTTTTGGAAATTGGAACTTGTGTGAATTTGCATAACCCTTTCAAGGGTGAAGTACTCTTCTTCTCAAGCACTATTGTAGGGCAAATTTCATCAGCCAAAAATGCCAAAAGAATCTTCCTTAGAAAACCATTCTCAACCTTGTACCAAACTCAATTGCCATGTAATCTGCATGGAGCCCTCCATTTTTATTCTTTTTGAACAAGTACAATTCATTATCTTGTAACAAGGCGGTGATGTGGGTTTCGTCAAAACATGAGACTGTAAAAGAAAATTCAACTCCTACCAAAACAACCACGGAAATAAATAACAAACACCCACGAGATAATTGTGTAGAAAACCACCCTAACATCCCTTATGCCGTATATTCTTGAAAAGATCCACAAACATAATCTCCTGTGTAATTTTGATCTTATGTTTTTCCATGTCATTAGCTGCTGGATTTGATGTTTGATTTGTCTGCTAGAACGTGATCTGATCCAGGGGCATTTTAATGTTCGCATTTGCTGGCATTTATTACCTCCGTTTTTAAAAATTCAGAAGTGACTTTATTTTGTCAAATTATCAGAGAAGAGGAAGAGCTGGACGTGTTCAGCCAGGAGAGTGCTATCATATCTATCCAAGATGTGTATATGATGCTTTTGCAGATTATCAGTTACCAGAAATTTTAAGGACCCCACTGCAGTCTCTTTGTTTGCAAATTAAAAGTCTGAAACTGGGTACTATTTCTGAGTTCCTATCAAGGGCACTGCAGTCTCCTGAGTATCTAGCGGTAATGCCTATTCAGATATATTTCTGTTTTATAGAAATAACACGCGTCACTGACTCACTGGGAACATATGTTTCTGAAGTATATTCTTTAGTAACTTCTTTGGGATAAAAAGGACCAAATGTATGTGTCAACAATCATGTCTAAGGTTGTTACACAACTATTCCTTCAAATTTTCTGCTAGGTTCAAAATGCTATTGAATATTTAAAGATCATTGGGGCTTTGGACGAGACTGAAAATTTGACTGTTTTAGGTATGAACAGATCTCCTATTTTCTCAATTTTATGCTTATTGAGGTTGCATTCTAAAATCTGTTTGCCTGATGTCCTTGACAGGACGCTACTTAACAATGCTTCCAATGGAGCCAAAACATGGTAAAATGCTTATACTTGGCGCTATATTGAATTGCCTGGACCCAATGTTAAGTGTTGTTGCTGCTCTAAATGTCCGTGACCCTTTCTTAACCCCAATGGACAAGAAGGATGTAAGTCAGAAGTTTTAGTAATTATGTTATGAAATACTCATCCTCAATTCTGATGCTATTCATGAATTGCAACTTTTAGCTTCTTTGCCTTTTTATCAGTTATTTTCAATTGTTATATGGTTGATGTTGACTAACTACTGTTAAAAACCCTATATTTTGATTTTTCCTGAATATTACATATGATTGTCTTGAGAAGACTATAGTATCGAAGCAGCAGGATATTACAATTTTTTTGAGAGAATTACTCATTCACCTCAATCTGCCTCTCAATTATGATATTTGACATCCCCCCCCCCCCCCCCCCCCCCCCCCCCCCCCCCCCCCCCCCCCCC